GTATGTATAACCTATTTTTCTCATAAAAGGATGAGTTAGTGTTTTACCTCTACCAGATATCTTTTCTATCTCCTCCCTGCAGAAATTCTCCAGTTTTTCTCTCAGATGAGACACAGATTTACCAATATCATCAAAAGAGAGACGAGAACTGACAGTTATTTTGGGCGAGTCTGTAGATCCAGGAGGAACAGAGAGAGACTGGAAACTCTATACAAAGACACAAAACACCAGTTAAAGACATTTGCATTTGACATTTGATAGAAACAAAAATCTCTGAACAACATGCTCTTCCCTTCCTGAAGACCACTGTCCTGTTTGTCAGATCTCTGTTACCTGGAGGAAATGGATGTGATTGTCTGTGTGTGAAAGTTGTTCCAGCTCAGCGTCTCTCCTCCTCAGATCTTCAATCTCCTGCTCCAGTTGCTCCAGTTTTCCTTCAGCTCGACTCACTGCAGCCTTTTCCTGATCTCTGATCAGCTGTGTCACCTCAGAGCAGCTTCTCTCAATGGAGCGGATCAGCTCAGTAAAGATCCTCTCACTGTCCTCCACTGCTGCCTGTGCAGAGCGCTGTTAGGACACACAGAGAGAGAGAAGCATTAGAATCAGTCCATTCACTCAGCTCTTACTGCTACCTCACACAGCCTGTTCCCCACAGCGGGCTTCAGTGGGACTGAAAGAGCTCCAGCACTGGCTCCTCACTGACTGGCTGGAGGAGAGTCCACACTGAGTCTGAAACAGCTCTTCAGCAGCCAGCAGCTCTTCTTCTGCTCAAAATTCACCTTGTGAGACTCTACAGCCTCTCTCAGCTTCTCAAGCAGCTTCTGTCTCTCCTGGATTCTCAGCTGTTTTTTTCTTTGCATCTCACCCAGCTGTCTCTGTAGGAATAACAAATAATCATGAACCTGAATCATGAATAATACTGCATGCTAAAAACAAGTAAATAGCTATACTTAAGGATAAAAATATCAGTTTACCTGTTTCTCAGTCCTCTCTGCTGCAGCTGATACAGTCTCGTGGTTTTTGTGTTTATCCATTGTACACAAATAACATATACACTGCTGATCAGTACGACAGAAAATCTCCAGTAGTTTCTCATGTTGAGGGCAGATCATCTCCTGCAGTTGTCCAGTGGCATCCATTAGATTGTGTCTCTTACCTTTGAAGAAAGTTTCATGTTGTTCAAGATGATTTTGACAGTAAGAGTTCAGACACACCAGACAGGACTTGATGGCTTTGTTTTTGTCCTCAATACAGATGTCACACTCCACATCTCCAGATGCAAGTAGCACTGAGCAGGACGAGCAGCTTGTAGTTTTGTCTTCTTGAGTTTCTCCAGCACTTCAGCCAGCATGGTGTTTTTACCCAAAACAGGTCTTGGAGTGAAGGTCTGTCTGCACTGAGGGCAGCTGTAGACTCCCTTCTGATCATCCTGATCCCAGTAGCCTGTAATACAGCTCATACAGTAACTGTGTCCACAGGTAAGCGCCACTGGATCCTTCAGTAGATCCAGACAGATTGGACAGTTAAATTCTTCCAGAGACCATGAAGTACTGGCGTCTGCCATTTTGCTGCGTAGAGACATGTACAACTGCCCAACTTTCGTTTTCTCCAAACTGAGGCGTTTCCCGTGTCGTGTGACAGTAAGGTTATAAAAGATCATACGTAGAACAGCGCCATAAGCAGACTCGATCATACTTTTACTTAAACTTTCAGAATCTTGAACGTTTATGAAATGGGGTTTGAAAATGGGATTTGATATTGTTCATTATTAAAAGAACACAATTGAGATTGTAAATATATAACAAAGATTCTACTGATATTTGGATCACACACTAGTAATTAAAGAATAGACCCTTTTAGGGCCGACGTCACAGTTACGTCACCGCGCTAGCTGGAGGCAAAACAAACGGGAAACTGGAGGCGGCCATTTCAAACCAGCGCAGATTCAGCTACATAAGGTGCTTAAAATATCGTCTTATTGTGATGTTGGGTGCCAGGATCGACGTAGTAGAGGCTCCAATTTTAAAGCATACCTGCTGCCACCGCCAGACAAAAAAAAAAAACCGACGACAGCTGTGGTTAAATGCGATAAAACGTTATCAGCGAGCGGACTGGAAAGAAACGATAGTCAAAAATGCTCGCGTCTGCAGCGCATACTTCTTGTCAAAAAAGGTTAAATAAAGTATTGTCTTTTGTTGTTATGTATTATGTTTTGTGTTACGCGACTAAAGATTTCTTATGCATGTCGCGTATGAAATAATGTCTGTGCTGTTGAACGTCCACTAGATGACAGTGTCGTGCAGAAACCTGTTTGCGAGCTGTAGTGTTCCAGTAGAGGGCGCTCTCACACACTGGAATTTTCCATGTCTGCCTGTTTGTGCCAAACGCATGATACAGCACATTCTAGCGCTCAAACAACTCGACACACTCATGTAAGATCATTCAAAGATATAAAATATATTCTTTATGATTACTACAATCAAAACAGCTCAAATACACCCAGTGTATTATAACACGCAGTATTCAACTCAGATAAAGCTTAAGAGCAGCTGTAAATGCATGACACCTGTACATGTAAATTCATTTGTTATTTACATCGAAGTTAAAAAGTAAGAATTTTATAGAGAGAGAGGACGAATCCAAAGTAGCGCTGAAAGATATAACTTACATTACTGATGAGTATACCCTGCTGAAACCATCTTTAAGTAGGTTAAGCTGCTTTCCTGGTTTTATGTGGTTCAAACTGGTCTCCCAGTTGGGCCCAGCTGGTGTTCATGTGGTTTAGCTGGTTAGCAAGCTGGTCTCCCAGCTTTACCATTTGAAAAGTGGCTAAAACCCATCTAAAGCAGCCAACAGACCAGCGTAACTAGGCATGGAGATCATTCAAAGCATCTAATGCTGATACTTTAGAAAATGTGCAACACAAAATTCTGAGACAAAACAAAATCTTGAAGGTCACTGGCTTGATTTGTTGCATGAATCTTATTATTATATTTTTAAGGTTGAAAAACTTTGCGATCTATTTGGGGACATTTCATAGACTTCTGCTGGTTTTATTTACAGCTCTAAATACCACAGCCGAACCCGAACTCTTTTGTTGGATTTAGGGCATTTCTGGATACACATTTTTAGGTACACACATACACAATTAATAGTGCTCAAAATGCAGGTCTGACCATGTAGGTAGGTCATATACACTTACAAAAATATTTTATTAAAAATAGATGTCAGCACTCTGTACAGTGTTAAAGAAGGGCAGGGATGTTATATTAACATCAATCTAATAGAGATTAATTGAAAACATAAGCTCTTTAAATATTAAACCAAATCCACTATCTGCCCAGACTACACAGAATAGTACATCATTGAAATATAAACTTGATTGGCTCTAAGTGAAGATAAAGTCATGATGACTAGCACAGTCTGAGAAACATAAGACACAAACGCACACACCGGCATCTTAACAGCTGAAATGAGGACTTCTGTTCAGTTAATGCCACCTGTCTAATTTAGCGTATCTGCACTCTAATTACTCACAAAAGCCTCCTTTCTTTCATAATTATCTTCTACTGTTATAAGCAAAGACAAATCGCTGAGATTTAAAATAATATACAATATTACATCAAAAGCAACATTTGTGACATTCACCTAAGTAACATGTTCACAGTTCAGCATGTTACACCATTTTCCTTTGTTTATGCAAAAGTCATGTACTGTTCCTCATCTTATATGAATTGGAGCACAAATAAACAAAGCATTAAAGCTCAAGAGTAATTTCTCTGCCTCTAGCTTCCAAAAATCGATTTGCAAAAATAATAAACATGTTCAAACAGGTTTCCAGAGCACTCCCCCATCTTTCATTGGTTAAACAAACATAGCTCCACCTCAAAATCACTCCATTGGTTGAGCCAATGTTGCTATGTTGGGATGCTCAAACAAACAGAGCAGTCAACCTTCAAATGGCTTGTTTATAGTTTGTCTGCATATTGAGATAGTATAGTAAAACATTTTAACAAAATATTAATGTTGAAAACTTCATTTTTACAGCCAATTAACGGAGGTGTGCTTATTCTAAAGATTGAATAAAAGAGTACTAAATTAATAAATCTGTAATAATAAAGGGAGTTAGGAGTAGTCTTAAAGGGACAGTTCACCCAAAAATTAACATTCTCATCATTTACTCACCCTCATGTAATTCCAAAACTATGACTTTCTTCTGCAGAAAACAAAAGAAGATATTTTGAAGAACTGGTTTTGTCTACACAATGTAAGACAGTGAGGTCCAAAACAACACTTCCCTCCACTGTCTTGCACTGTATGGTCAAAAAAAACAATCAGACACTTTTTAAAATCTTTTGTGTACCACAGAAGAAAGAAATGCATACAGCATACAAAGTGTACATTTTTGGGTAAACTATCCCTTGCATCAACATTATGTCACATTTCTTGGTGAAGTTTTAGGTCACTGTTACATTTTTACAAACAGTCCAATCTAATGCACATCATTTGACCTACATAACAAAATCTGTGTAATATGTTGTTTTAACAATTAGGCGTTTCAACACTGCACACATAAACAGCATTTACTGAAGTTGTGACTCGATATTAAAAAATATAGTGATTTCTGGGGTACTACATTTAAGTATTTTCTTCATTAGCCACAAATTATTAAATTCATATTGAAATGTACAAACTAGACTTAAATATAATATACATGAGGAAAAGGACCCAATTTACGTCAAAAACAACGTGTAGCTATAAATGGTTTAATTTGCCTGTATTCAGTCAGATTTACTGAATAGAAAGTGTATTTTCCCCATATTTAATGCTAAATTATGTGCATATAAAAAATTAGCTTAGTGCCAAAAATGCTGCTTATGTGTGCAGTGTGTAGCCAGTTAACATGGCTGCTTATTCCATTTACTGCTTGTTCTGATTTCAACCTAAAAAAAAAAAGCAAAACACATTTTTCCCACATAATCAATGAAGTTTTTTTTTTTTTTTTTTTTTTTAACAAGAAACAGAAAATAACAGACGTCTGAAATAGTTTGTGTGTGTGTGAGGAGCATCCTCAAAGCAACATTAGCAACTTATAAAAACATTTGGTCAAGCAAATGAACAAAAAAACGCTAAAATCCAGGCAATGCAACAGAAGAAGAGAAGAGACAGGTAGTGTGTGAATCACACAGTCCTTGCGCAGTGTTTGTGAGGGTTATTCTTGTTTGTGGCAGTAGATGTCTTTGAGAGCTTTAAGCTCCTCTATGAGAGTCTTGTTCTGGTTTTCCAGCACAGCGACACGATTCTCCAAGCACTTCACGTATTCTTTCTTCTTTTTGCGACACTCGCGCGCCGCCTCCCTACAACATGCAAATAAAAGGTCAAACATGAACATGCACATCAGTGCATTAGTTAAAGCGCATGCATACATGAATCACCGAGACTCAGATGTGTGGGTACCTGTTCTTCATGAGGCGGACTTCTCTCTTGCGTGTGACCTCCTCTGCATTCTGCGGTGGGCAATGCATCGCCCCCGGTGACACTGCCATAACGACGCCTGGTGGTAACCCTGACGATGGGGAGCGGATCTGATATGCTGGCATGTCTCCTGTGGCAGCTGCATGCACAAATATACACCAAAATGCATTATTTGACAGATAAATGGGTAACATTTTAATTAATCATAGTTAATGTTCACATCTACATAGTAACATTAATCCATTAGAAATTAAAATGTTAATGTTACCAATAAATGATGGTCAAAGGTGTAACAAACAATATTTTTTAAATTTTATCTGTCTTATCATCTCTGTCTTAAGATCAGTGGTGACATATATATATATATGTATATATATACTTGTGCGAAAACATCAAAAAAGTAATTAAAATAATAATAATAATTTTATACATGAAATTTATTATTATTACTATTATTTCCAAACATATGGAAGCAAACAGAGTCCACAGAGTAAAATTTTAAAATAGGAAATAAAAATGATCATTATTTTTGCAATTCTGGTTCTTGTGCATAATTACATGTAATTACAAGTGTATAAGTAATTAATTAATTACATAATTACAAGTGTATGATTTATTATTATTTTTATTATATTTAATTTAATAATTTTTTTATTAAACTTTATTATAATAATTATAATACTTTTTTTCCAACCATATGGGAGCAGTGTAAGTAATAAGTTGTTATTTTGAGTAAATAGCATATATTATTTTATTTTATTTCATTTTATTTATTTATTGCAGTTCTGTTTAGTGCTAAACTAGAGAAGAAAGACACTTACTGAAAATTATCCATTGACCAGGTATATTTCATCTGACCAATAAAAAGGCACATAACACTGAATCTAACCAATTAGCTGTGACTTCTATTGTGACCAGGCTTAAAAAGCAGGTCTAATTGGATTCGTTAGTTTATGCAATAAATCCAAAACAATATCAACAAGCAGTTACGTAAAAGACTTCACATCCACTCAATCGACACAACATTAAAAACACCTAATCAACACTGAAAAAGCACATTTAAGTAGGCTACTACAAAAAAGTTGCTGGTACTGTACAATACAGTCAGTTTTAATGCTGCTATCAGACAATGTTCCCAGCAGTAAATGTCCTTCAATAAACTGGATATGATTTGACTTAATGTGTATGTGTGTGCGTTTGTTATCAGAAAATATGACAAAATGCTGATGTCACCACATGCGTCGTTGCCCAAACCCCCACCCAACTCTCCGCCTCTCCCTCTCCCTTCGTCTCAGCTTCGGCCGGCTTCCAGGAAACAGACTGACGTCAAACAGAAAGCCCCTCCCCCCTCTCATTCTCTCGCTGCTTTTGTCTCTCTCTCTCTCAATGATTCATGTGTGTGAATAGACAGGCAGATTTGGCAGCCTGATTTCGTAAAACACAAAATGTCAATGAGTGTGTTTATGACTGAGAAGAAAGTTTCAACCACATAAAAGGAAACAACCAAAAGAAGCACAAAAACATGTGTCATTCTTCCACTGTATGTAGACTGATTTTCTCAGAATGTTTACAAACTTTTGCACGATAAAACTTTTTATCAGCATTGCAGGAACCAAATACATCAACAAACACTTATTAACAGTAATATTCACTGTATTTTTTATTATTACAGTATATTATTATTATGTTAATTACATTACTTTTGAAATTGCTGACATTTTCTGCAGTGACAACCTATATTCCAACTAAAAATGTAAAAGCGTTTCATAATTATTGTCATCTATATATTACATACTTTATAATCTTTATAATAATTACTATATAAAAAATTATACTTATTATTATTATACTTGCATTATTATTATATGAACTCATATTAATTGAGAGATTACACAGGATCATTTAAAAATTAAAAAAAAAAGTGAAAAGTAACTAAAACTCAACCAAATGTCCCATATTCATTAAAAAAAAACAATACAAAGAAATTCTCCTTTTTCATCTTTAGCTGCTACTAGCTTATTTACCAAATGAAAAAATACAAAACTTCAGGAATGCATAAAACATAAATACATTAGCATCACACTGGCTTTTCCCTTATAAAACACACACACACACACACACACACACACACACACACACACACACACACACACACACACACACACAAACACACACACACACACTCTATCTCACCTGACTCCGTCTCCTCCCCAGTCACTGCCATCTCTATGCTGTAGTAATCCAGTTGTAATTGTCTTTTGAGCGCTATCTTCAATGTTTCCTCTTTATTTCCTCTTAAAGCTCTCTCTTCCTTCCAGCTGGTTGAGTGAGTTTCTCTCTCATACACTCTTTCTGACTGTCTTAGTTTGAGTTGTGACACTAAGTGTTTTGCCTTTAACCCTCCCTCCCTCCTTCTCTCTCTCCCTCCCTCTTTCTCTCTCTCTCTCTCCCTCCCTCTCTCTCTCTCTCTCTATCAGATTACTATTAAGAGCATTGACATCACTATGACATCACGGCAGTCTCACAGGGAAATAACACACTGTCTCCGGAGAATGCCCTCCCCACACGTGTGTGTGTGTGTGTGTGTGTGTGAAAGAGGACACTTGCTTTGTAATTAAACATCCATGCTTAAATTGGTGGCCTGAGGAAAATTAAAACTGACTTCTAATGAACTGTGCAACTGCATGGAATTTAAATATTTAAGTTCATAGTAAAAGAGAAGAAGGAGAAGAGAAGAGAAGAGGATTTTTAAAAGAGGAGGGAGAAGTTGTTGAGTTTGATGTACAGTATTTTTAGATCATGATGACGCAAAAGCATTTCAGCACAAACAAAAGGATACTGTGCCCATTTCACCTCATAACACTAACACAGGCATCTGAAATGGTACACACACACACACACACACACAATCACACACCAGTAATCATATCACACTGTTTACATACATAAATAACTCCAAATATATCTTTAATTCATATCTGTTTCAACAGGTCTGAAATCATTTGAAACAGTCTCTGTTATCATGATAAAAACACACTGTTTTTATCAGTATACTGTTTTGTTTGCAGAAAAATATTACACATTATATTATTATTACATATTATTTATTCATAAATATAAAAAATAATATAAATTTATACTAGTATAAATGATTAAATATTAAAACAATTACAAATATCATACTTTATTAAATATTATATTAATTATATATTATAAAGTAATTAAGTAATATATTTATATTTGTATTAGGGGTCGACCGATTATCGGCACCAATATTAAGCATTTTTATGGTTATCTGTATCGTCCTTTTCAAAACTGATTTGCAGATTAAATAATTTAAAAGCATTTAAAGAACGTTTTTGTCAGAGCATTAGTTATTCTTCATTTTGACATTAATTTTCATTTTTACACCAGACATATATTGGATCAAAATATCGGTTATCGGTCTACTTGATCTGTAATAATCGTCGGCATCCTCCCTGAAAAACACATATCTGTCGACCCTTAATTTGTATATAAACTACCTCACTAAATTTAGCATTTGTATGTTAGATTTATGCTAATATAACAAGAAAAAACTGTTTGCCCAAATGGTAAGATACATTTAAGATAATTAAAAATATTTGAAATACTCATTGAAAACAAATGTAATATCCCAAGGATGTTTAGATATTTTACTGGAAAACAGGACCAAAATACAGATCAAGAAAATGATTTTTGCAATGTTCAGCACAAAGACTGTACCAGGGTATCAGGGTACATTTATTATTATAGTTATCTATGGTATTATCCAAAGCTCATATACAAAGTTGGATTTCCAAGCAATAGTGAGTCAGTTCACATGCTGAACTCTTATCTTTGCAAATCAAGGAGATTTTCAGCCGTAGTTTGTCAATGTCACATCAAAACAAATTTAACCAGTTTCTTCTCAGTTACTGCAAAGTAGACTTGTGCCGGTATTCGGTAATGTGATATATCACGGTAATGAATATGCACGATATTGTTATTGTGGGCACTTCTAAATACCGTGAATAATTATATATATTACAAATTATTTAGAATTTTGAATGCATTTTAAGAATACTTTTCCCATCAACTGGTCAAAATGCACACAATTAATCGCAACATGAAAATTTGATACCGGCATACCCCTACTGCAAAGTCTGGAACTTCAGCACATAATAAAACAAGTCTAACAATTTTCCCACACTGCAACGTTCAGTTCAGTGTCCTTCCAAGTTCAGAGCCCAGTCTCAGCAAACACAGCTCATACACACATTTTGTTTTTGTGTTTCAGCATCGCCGAAATGACAACAATTATAACGCGTTGAAAAATACAATTAACCTCTTCCTGCCTGACGTCAGAAACTAAGAAAAAAAAAAAAAAAAGGATTTTTTTCCCTAGAAAAGTTCATAAAAGTTCAAGTGTCTTACCCTGAACGAGCACCTGTCCAGAGGTCAGCAGTAGCTGTTGGCCGGGGTCTCCAGGCTGGGCGCCGTACTGCAGGATAGTGGCCCCAGGCTGCGGTGTGGCGGGGCTGGGAAGAGTCAGAGTCTGAACCCCCTGCAGGGCCTCTCCTCCAGGGCCGGCCAGCTGTATTGCTCCCCCCTGAGTGATCGTAACTGCACAGACACAAAACAGTTAGTCTTGAATCTGCCCAAACACCTGGTATATAGCAAATGATAAGGGTTTAGTACATTTGGGAAACATTTGCGCAATATCTAATGAATTGGTCTTTCGTAAGAATGGGCTGATGAACAACAAACCCCCGAATTTTAAGGGTAGAGTTTTAAGAGTTCACATTTCATGCTGCACAAAGACATAATAGTTTATGAGAAATTAACTCAGGCGTACTGTATTGCCCGGAGCTGGTCTGGTAGATTGGAGACGGTGCCATCACCGTAGCAACACTGGAGGTGGCCAGGGTTTCTTCCTCCACTTTCTCCTCTTCCTCTATCTTTGGCACGGCAGGTACGTCTGATGACAACTCATTAAAGATTTTCCTGAAAATACATATCTAAGTAAATACATTTACTTCATCTGACAATCAGAATATTTCACTAAATTTCAGGAAATTCTGGCAAAAAATGATTATGTGTGCTGTTGGTGTATGGATTTCTGGGTATTATTGGATTTGGAGTATTTTGTTGTTAAATGCAGGGATGATATCATGATCAGGTCAGGTCATGAGGTCATGCTATTGTTAACTTAAACTATTAAAACGAATCATTTTCAGTAAATAAAATAACGCTAAAATGAAATAAAATATCAATATTACATGAAAACTATAACTATATAATATAATATTAGAAATGTTGTCTTGGCAACTAGATGAAGAACCTGACGATATATAAAATAAAAGGTAATTCAAAATATTAAAAAATACTATAATAGTTCATCAATATTGCAAAAAATGTTGCTCAAGAATTGATCTCACCTGTAAGACGGTCGTCTGGACAGAATCTCCCTTCTCTTCTGAGGATCTGATGGGTTTGAACCCGATCCACCAGTATCAACAGCTACCTAAAAACATCCAAACACAAATATACACATCTTAATTCCAAATGAGCCTTTAAAAGCATTTGTGAAGGGGAAAATTATCAGTGAATAATAGCTATATAGACTGCTTTTTTGCCAAGGCTTCACTGTACAGGACATTCTTTGAAAATATATATTTTGGGATATATTGATGAAAAGTCATACAAGTTTGATACGACACAAGGGTGCCTAAATATTGACATAACTTTAATTTTTGGGCCCTTTAAAAAGCAATAGAAAATGCATTTCTCTTGAGATAACAACCGTGCCATCTCCTGAGCAGATTTGATTTGTCTGACGTGGGCTTTGTGTGTGCGTGTGACCAACAAGATCCAATGCATTGACTCTCACATTACTCAAATCTCATTACTGCTCCGTACAGCTACTCTCACTCTTGTTGTTACTGTGTCAATCTGCTTTTCCTTCATCCCATTGATCCCAGGATGAGTAAACGCAGCCAGTGATTGGCTACAGCTCTAACTGCTGCAATGTGATTGGTCAGTCTCTCCAGGTAAAGGAACAGGTAAATGAATAACAGGATTGTGCTTTAATGGCTCACAGATCAGCACACGCTTTGGTTTAATAAGAGTGGACTTTATAAATGGTAACTTTTATTAAGATTTGTATTTGGACTAGTCCTGTACAAATGCCTTACATCTATACACATAAAACCAGTATGTGTGTACCTGCACTGTTTGTATCTGAGGTGATTGGATAACAGAGGGCTGTGTGGTCTGAATGACTCCCTGCACCTGTAGTGTCTGTACATCAGGTAATGACACCACAGACACACCCTCATTCACCTGAGAGAGAGACAGAGACAGAGACAGGGATGGTAAAAAATGTCTGACGCTGTTTAGCCCAGTGTTGTTAATGTTAACTAAAACTAAAACTATCAAAATTTCATTTTCAAAAATGAATTGAAATAAAGCTGAAATAACATAAAACATAAATATTAGATGAAAAACTTAATTTTAAACAAACATCACAAATCTTGCCTCGGCAACCAGAATTCTTATAGTTGACGAACACTGAAACTAAAATTAAAACTGATAAAAAAAATATTAATTTCTTGAAAAAATAAATAAATAAATGTTAACTGATAAAATAATCAAACTGATAATAAACTGATGAAACAAACAATAAACTGATAAAATAATCAAATATAATAATAAAAATAAAATATAAAAATAATTTAATTTCAGCCCATTGCCAAGGAAACATTTTAACTCGACAACAAGTTTACCTTGAGGTACTAAAGTAATTTTAAATATTAATAAAACAAATAAATTACATAAATACATATATAAAAATAAAAATGACTAAAAATGAAAAATAAAAAAAACTCTCCAGGTAAAGGAACAGGTAAATTAATAACAGGATTGTGCTTTAATGGCTCACAGATCAGCACACGCTTTGGTTTAATAAGAGTGGACTTTATAAATGGTAACTTTTACTAAGATTTGTATTTGGACTAGTCCTGTACAAATGCCTTACATCTATACACATAAAACCAGTATGTGTGTACCTGCACTGTTTGTATCTGAGGTGATTGGATAACAGAGGGCTGTGTGGTCTGAATGACTCCCTGCACCTGTAGTGTCTGTACATCAGGTAATGACACCACAGACACACCCTCATTCACCTGAGAGAGAGACAGAGACAGAGACAGGGATGGTAAAAAATGTCTGACGCTGTTTAGCCCAGTGTTGTTAATGTTAACTAAAACTAAAACTATCAAAATTTCATTTTCAAAAATGAATTGAAATAAAGCTGAAATAACATAAAACATAAATATTAGATGAAAAACTTAATTTTAAACAAACATCACAAATCTTGCCTCGGCAACCAGAATTCTTATAGTTGACGAACACTGAAACTAAAATTAAAACTGATAAAAAAAATATTAATTTCTTGAAAAAATAAATAAATAAATGTTAACTGATAAAATAATCAAACTGATAATAAACTGATGAAACAAACAATAAACTGATAAAATAATCAAATATAATAATAAAAATAAAATATAAAAATAATTTAATTTCAGCCCATTGCCAAGGAAACATTTTAACTCGACAACAAGTTTACCTTGAGGTACTAAAGTAATTTTAAATATTAATAAAACAAATAAATTACATAAATACATATATAAAAATAAAAATGACTAAAAATGAAAAAGAAAAAAAATTATTAGTTTTAACAAAAATTAAAATTAATAAATAAAAATTCAAAAAAGATTCAACAAACTAATAAAAACTATAATAGTATTTTAATGATACTAAAATAACACTGTTGGTAACTAACTTAAAATAAATATAAGTAGAAGTACTAAAATTGCTAAAACTGTAATAAAAATAAATTAAAGCTTAAAATATTAAATAAAAATATTTAAAAAATTAGAAAAATAAATAAAAATAGCAAAAGCACATAAAAATGACTAAAATTCAAACTAAAATTAACAATATCATATATTAAATATAAAGCGAAGCACAACTGCGATATATGTCGGCATGCTGCCCACAAGGCTATTGGTGCCGAGTCCGACCAAACTCCTTTTTTAACATTTAGTCTGTAAATATTTCAGTCTGAAACCACATATCAAGTACCATGGTATTACCATGTTTTTTTGGACACAGTATCATAATAATACTATGGTAATACTATGTTTTTTATGGCAATACCATATTATTATGATGTTATTATGGTAATTACCATGCATTACCATGTTAAGTAACCTGAAGATCCACATAAATCCTATGGTATATGAATACAATAATCAAACCATCTCATGGCAGTAATTGAAACCAAGCATCACTGTACCATGGTACCACCACAGCACTTTTTTGCTAAGGACTGGAATGTGTAATAGTATCTGTAAATAAGATTTTGAAAAATTTTCCTGAGTTAATTCAAACATAATGCTTTATCAAGCATTTGTGTTTCAGTGTGGCATGATCTGTGTAACAGGTGTCATATCTGTGGAAGGCTTGTACCTGTGTGAGTGAATCAGAGTCTGACTGTACCTCACTTGTTACTTTCTCAGTTGCATTGGCTTCCTGTTGTGCTCTGGTTGCAGTTTCCATGGAGATTGGCCTAGCAACAGAGCAGACAGGAAATGCACAGTCAGCGCTCTGTAGAATCACACGTCACAAGATTTTAAACAGCCTACTGCATTTGACATAATAATCCATTATTTTAGCCCAATGTTTGCCAATCTAGTGGTTCAAAATGTGACGCAATAAAACTGCTCTGTTTGTGTTGAAATGTTCATGCATTTGTGAAACATTGTGCATTGAAGAAAGCAGTTTCTTCTTTTGCACAGTGGGGGTTTTCATCTGTTGACAGTGTAAATGGACTTCTGGATTGGGCTTTCCCTAATATTATGAAAAATGCATGACAAATTTATGGTAAAACAGAGGATCAACGCTTTAATACTATTTACTAATTGGGCTTGAGTAGGTAAGAGAAACTAACCAAAATAACTTGAATAGAAAATAAATTAATTTCTATACTATGCTTCACTATTTTTATTTTTTTTTACATGCATCAAACATAAGTTAAATTACTGCAATTAAAGAGTATGAAAAAATAGGTAACACTTTACTTGAAGGGGTGTGCATAAGACTGACATGACAACTTCATAATCATGACATGACACATGTCATGAATATGAAGGAGGTTTTATGCATGTTTATGACAACTGTCATTAAGTGTCATTCGCTCAGTTATTTAATTTTTAATGCAAATATGACATTGTTTGAGATGTCTTTGTTATGGGCTATGGTTAGGGGTAAGGGTAGGGGTAGGGTTAGGTCAAACAATGTCATCTTTGCATTAAAAATGACATAACTGAGCGAATGACACTTAATGACAGTTGTCATAAACATGCATAAAAAACCTTCATATTCATGACGTGTCATGTTATGATTATGAAGGTGTCATGTCAGTCTTATGCACACCCCTTCAAGTAAAGTGTAACCACAAAAATTATATATAAAACCCCCAAATAATGTAAAATTGAATATATCATGATACAATACTGATTTGGTTTATTATGATCAAAAATTGCGCGCGCACACAGCGAGCTGTAACGGCCGCGTGCACTTCCTCATTCTATCTGAACGGTTCTTGGCCAGTGCACAAACTTCTAAGGAAATATGAGGAAACATATTTTACTCCATCGCTTTAGCATGCTCAGATTATTCCTTACAGTGCTGATTTAAGGGTGCATTATGTCAGTGTTCGCTGAACTTCTGTTTCCTCGCTGGACTGACAGAACAAACGCGCGCAAACTTTGAACAGCTCGCGCTTATGTAACGTTAACAGCAATGGGTGGCACGAGGATATGACACACATAACTGCAACATTCATGAGCTTACAAATAAATACTGGACAGTAAAGCAACTTGCAAAGCTTTTAGGTTCTTAAGGCAAGCTGTCTACTGTATTTATTTGCATAGTCCTGGACCAAGCTGCGTCATTCTCCACAACCTCAATGAATTTTTTATATCGCCAACACTGCATTTAACTTGACCTTTTTGCTTTGTTACTTAGATTATATTTCAGAGCAACTCTGATTATTAATGTTAAACACTCAGAATATGAAATCTGCGCGCTTTTTGTTATTGGCAGGTTTATTTTCTTGTCAACAGTAGTTTAACGCGCAGATTACACCAGGAACCGCGTCGTAGACAGCTTCGTCTCGTTGCACATATTACACTGAGAAACGAATTTAATTAGCAGCTACATGTTTGTCTTATGCGCTCATCTCCAGATCCTCTCTGGCGGGCGGCGGCAGATCGAAATGCCAGCAATAACTTACCCGAGTTGTACGTAGAGTCTCGTCACTCGTTACGGGTGCAGAGGAAGCCCGACTCGCTGCACACGTAGAGCCCACGTCAGCTCTGATGATGCGCCTTGGAAAAGTGGACTATGCAGCCGGAGGCCCCAACAACACACACACACACACACACACACACACACACACACACACACACACACACACACAAACACAAGGTGCTGTGAAAAGGCATGTTGTGTGTGTGTGTGAGGGACAGGCTCACTCTCACGCTCTCTCCATTCCACCTTGAGTGATCTCTTCCCACACACTGCGCAAAACACACCAGCAACTATTTACCCAACTCCTGAGTTTCCCATGCAAAAGCAAGTCAAAACCTGCTCCGCCAACTCTTCACAATGGGCGGAGCCTAGGCGCTGAGGGGCCGCTGTCACTCACCAAATGCCCTAAACAGTCCATTTAATCAACGAATTGATTTCCATAATGCATTAATGCGTATGAGGCTTCAATTTCATTATAATAGTTAATCGAATTTAATAATAAAAAGTGTTCCAGACTGATCACACTTACAAAAAAGATTTATAGAAATTGTATACTCATATAATAATAAATAAATAATACAAACCCAACAAAATAAAAAAGTGCATCATGTTTCATTTATTAAAAAATAAGCTTAAATAGGTTTGAGTCAAATAGAAATACAGAAGTTTGGTGAAATAGCGCCATCTTGCGATAGAGGAATATCATCTTTTCTCAGTTGTCATACAGTTCAGTTGTCATACTTTTTCAAATTTAAAAAGACAGCCAGACAGACAGCCAGACAGCCAGACAGACAGACAGACAGACAGACAGACAGACAGACGATAGATAGATAGATTGATAGACAGACATACAGACAGAGATAGATAGATAGAAAGATAGATAGAATGTTATGTGATCATTCAACTATTTGAGTTCAGACAGAGTTTTAGTTGTTTGTTGATAGCGACTGGCACTTTAAGGTCGCAATGTCACATAAGTTGTGTAAAGAACTTGCAAGTCAGTGTTGATTACATTTGTTGGAAACTATCTGCCAGATTTGTTACACTGGAAACCACACTAGCAACTCCTTACAAGTGAGAAATGGTCACAGGAGGAGACCACTGACGTTGTCAGCGAAAAGCAGATGCTCATCTATAAATGATGAGTCACTGCAGACTCCACCACTGGGATTCAGCCCACTGTTTGGGCTGATACATCAAACATGCATATGAGAAGATAAAAAGATTGCACTACCTGCAGCTTTCAAACAAAAACAAAACTTCATGGCTCTAACACGCAGACAGCGACTCACAGAGCTGACCCTGTATCTGACAACTCACTAACTGTGCCATGAAAGTTGGTAGAAGAGTTCTCTACTTTTTTTCAGTAATGGATCTCCAGCATCTGGTCATTAGATCAAAGCATGTGTACGTAATCCTACAGCTGTTCCACTAGATCTTCACTCAGCTGGGTGTGTAGAACTAATCTGCATCAGTCCCTCAGTGTGCGTGTGCAGTTTCACTGCCCAATGCCACCTGCCCAGTGTTTCTATTTTAGTACACCTCTGCCCTACAAGCAGAAAGCTAAATGTGACACATTTAGCTTTACATATACATAAAATTGGCCATATGTATGGAAGCTAATGCCCACATGCTAAATCATTCACACATTGAAATAAGGAGAACTATAAAAGAACTAAAAATAAAATTATGGAATAATCTGTCAATGTAATGCTTCAAACATAAAAATGTAAATAAATAAATTATTTTAGAACGGGGGTTGCTTTTAAAATTGAGTCGAAAGTTGATTGGTCGCCCCCACAATGCCACTCATTTGATGGATAAGGTCATTTGACAAAATGACAAAAAAAAACAAAAATAATAATATATATATATATATATATATATACTGTATATATATATGTAAGTAGCCTATCTAGCTTACTCGTTTTAGGTACTGTATTCTGACTACTTTTTAGATTATTTTTTACATAACTTGTTTTAAACTTACCATTAAATGTACCACATATATGTATATATATATATATATATATATATATATATAAAGAAAAGCAACTGGTAAATTGTTATTTTAATGCAATTTTAAATGTGCATTTAAAATTATTTATTCATTTTATTGTTGTATTTTTCTACATTTTAAAACATGAATTAAATAAAGAGCTTTAACCATTTATTTTTCCAATTAAATTATTTATTAATTCATTTTTTATTTAACTACATTTCAAATAATGAACTTTCAGTTTTAAATATGTTTTAATTTGTAAATTTTAAATATGTATATTAATTTTTACATTTATTCATTTCCATTTTTCCATGTTACTATCATTTATTTATTTATTGTCAAGTCTTTCAATGTCAATTCTAAGTCACAATATTTGTAGAACATATTTTCCCCATGCAGACACAAGGCTTTAATTTGGAGTCTAAGTCAGATCTCAGTCCGTTTTGGGTTACACTTTACTTGAAGGGGTGTGCATAAGACTGACATGACACCTTCATAATCATGACATGACACCTACATAATCATGACTTGACACATGTCATGAATATGAAGGTTTTTTATGCATGTTTATGACATAACTTGTGGCATCTCATAAATGTGATGATCCTTGAACCCTAAACTAACCCAACTAACCTAACCCTTTATTTGATAACATATTTCACTATATGTGTGAAGAAATGTAAAAAAAAAAAATTCAAAAAGTAAAACATGAATAATGAACTTTTCAATTAATGTAAAATAAGTTTGACTTTACGATCACAAGTATAGCTAAACTTGTACAGTACAAACGCGCAGGCGTTGCCCCAGTGCCGTTTATCACCGCCAGAGGGCGCAAGAAGCCCGTTTTCGTTGCTTCTGAACCGACTGATCACGGCGCGGTTCCCGTAGGCAGATCCCAAACACTAAACAGGTGGTCATACACCGCCACACAGCGCCCGCCGCGATGAAACGGGACGGCTACCGATCGTAACTTACACTGAGCCGCCAAGGTGCTGAACCAAAGATTATTAATGATCTGGACATCCCAGCACGGGAGCCTTTGATCCCGAGTTTCCCTTGGATTCGGGAAGGTCTAAGGAGAGTTGGAACTATGAAAGTGACGGTGTGTTTTGGAAGAACTCGGGTCGTGGTTCCGTGCGGAGATGGCAACATTAAAGTGCACTCGCTCGTCCAGCAGGCCGCGATGCGGTACAGGAGAGCGATCGCCAAGGTGAGATGCTGTTTCTCTGTATCATCTGATTGTGCTCTGGAAACATAGTTGCGCCGGTGAGGGCTGCAAATATGGCGCTGTAGAGACGGAGTAAGTGAGCGGGGGAAGGGATTGGGACCGTCCGGACACTTAAACTCCGGGAAAGAACGGCTTTATTCCCCAGAAAATAAAGCGTTGTGTGTTTTATCCTCTTTTAATGTGCAGGACCATCTTCTTTGTTCTTTGTCTACAGCAGACCCCTGGAAGCCAGTGAGAAATGGGGCAAATGAAGTAATATAAGAGAAAGCGATGTTTCCTCCACGTTTGAAACGTTATTACCCTACTTTGGGACCCGTTAGAAATGACAGCATTTAGTAGAATGCAATATCACGTACATTGACTTTTTGTTTACATGGCGGGTTGCCGCAGCTGAAGCGTCCTCATGCGTTTTGTGATGAAAATACGTCTTGAACTTTTCTTGTGTGTACGTGAGTCCTGCGCTTTGTTTGTTTTAGTGAGCTGATGAGAGCTGCTGCTGCTAGGCTAGCAGTGATAATTGATATGTCCTCTACACGTTTGGCACATATAAACCGTGTTTTTCGAGTCACACCGCATCTACACTTAAAGAGAACGACGCGACTAACAAAACCGGAACGAATCAACAAAGCAGTCCATAGTTCCGGCCGTTTAGTTCGCGAGCGTTTAAGTTTCGTTGCGTCCCTAGCAGTGTATACGGAGGTGCGCTCAATACTTGTTTTGCTAATTAAAAAAAAAGTTTTTACACACATAAACAATTAAGGACTTAAAGAAGTATAGTAACACTCTAGACATGTACATCTTTTAGAAAATGCTGTTTTAAATTCTACATATAGCGGGTCGACCTTTCATGGGCGCAAACTCCGTCCCACAGCCAATTCTAAAGATTTCATAGATTTTAGCATAGTTGAGTGCATAGTTAACTGTATGTCTATCTATAACCTTAACCATAGCCTTAGTATAGCGCTGGTAGCACATCCATCTGCTATCTGATAGATAGCATTAAAGGATTAGTTCACTTCCAGAATAAAAAAATCCTACTAATTTACTCACCCTCATGTCATCCAAGATGTTCATGTCATTATTTCTTCAGTTGCAAAGAAATTAAGGTTTTTGAGGAAAACATTCCGGGATTTTTCTCCATAATGGACTTCAATGGGCTGAAGGGCCAAATTGCATTTTCAATTCAGCTTCAAAGGGCTCTACACGATTCCAGCGAAGGATTAAGGGTATTTTCTAGTGAAACTTTTGGTCATTTTCTTTAAAAAATAAAAATGTATATACTGTTTAACCACAAATGCTCGTCGTGCACTAGCTCGACTTCACGCATCATGTAGTCACGTTGGAAAGGTCACGCGTGACGTCGGCAGAAACACTGACCCAGTGTTTACAAAGCAAACGTGCAAAGAAAGTCAAACGTCCTTTACAAAAAAAGGTAAAACAACGATGATGGACGATTTTGAAGAGAACATGAGATGGAGTTTTTCATCTTAACCTACCTTTTTGAACCGGAGTACACAGACGAAGAGCTAACCTTGCGTGAACTTTCCAACGTGATTACACAGTGTGTGAATTTGCAGACGTGCATCGCAGAGCAAGTGCAAGACGGGCATTTGTGGTTAAAAAGTATATAGTTTTTTTTTTTTTTTAAAGAAAATCATTATTCGTTTCACTAGATAAGACCCTTATTCCTCGGCTGGGATCATGTAGAGCCCTTTGAAGCTGCATTGAAAGTGCAATTTGGACCTTCCGCCCACTGGCCACCAGTAATTTCTTTGCGACTGAAGACAGAAAGACATGAACATCTTGGATGACATGGGGGTGAGTACATTTTCAGGAAATTTTTATTC